GTGTATATATATATATATATATATATATATATATATATATATGTGCTACTGTCATAAAAATTCCCTGTCTGAAGAACAAAGGGATTTAATATTCAATTTTCATGCAACGCAGGTAACAACGTTACTTAAGTTTGCCAGTCCAGATATGAAGAGAAAAAAAAAATCCGAAATTAAAAGCTTTTTCCGGTAAGTTTTGTTTTTTAAAAAACTACTTCCAGTGAAAGTAATGACTTCTGGTTAAGGTAATGAACCACCATGTAATTTTTCTCTTAAATGTGTACAAATCGAAGAGAAAAACGACACGGTATGGTTTTGACAAATCCAAACTACTTTTGTGCTTTGTCAATAAAGCGTATTCAATAAAAAAAACTACTTCCGGCAAAGGTAATGGCCCGAAAAAAAACTACTTCCGGCAAAGGTAATGACTTCCGGCGAAGGTAATGACACTTGTTTTTCCGGATACGTCATTTCCTGTCACGGCAAAGATGCCAGCTGATGTCTGCAGCCAGATGCTTTTGCTCTGGACCGATGCGTGCGCAGGTGGCTGCATCGATGCCTGATTACAAAATTAAAAAAAATAAATACTGCGAACAAGTGAATTATAAATTATGAAGCTTCTGATTGAAAGGAACAAAGTTTGCAACTTTGTACAAATCTGCTGTGAATGCCTTTGAGCCCAATGTTATCATTAACAACAAATTAAACATGATCTAAAATGATAAAGTACCGAGTAAGAAATCGTCCAGTGATACAGCAGTTCAACAGGCAATCTAGATTTAATCAGCTGTCTGTCAGGATGCCTGTATCACTAAAGGATGCCTCTATCGGTGATCCAGATCTGATGTTTACCTGCCTGTAGATCCTAACTAATAAAGACTCAGCTGGTTTTAGACCATTAGCATTTAGAGTACACTGGTGGAGCTCAGATCACTCGGGCAAAGGGGAGACATCATCAGTAACACAGCGCACTGCAGAAGTAAGTGACGTTATTAAAAGAAAAAAAAATTATGTGAAACATTGGGGGTGCTGGTTTTGTGTGCGCACGAAGCGGTACAAGTGATGACGATGCTGGATTTCATAATTTTATCCTCAGCAGCACTGCAGGTGCTCTCTATGTCCAAAATGTGCATAAGCCAGGTCCTTAGTCAACTTAATGTTGCGCACATTTTCCCGCTAAGTTTTCTTTTATAAATCCCAAATTTTGCTGGAAAGTTACGCAGTTGTCCGACCCGTTTTGTGCGTAAGCAAGCTTTATAAATGATGAGCCCCCTGGAGGTTAGTATAACTAAGTGCAACAATCCCAGCCAGCATATAAAGGTGGGATCCTATACAGTTGAGCAAAAAAGTATTTAGTCAACTACCAACTGTAGACCTGCACAGACTGGGTATTTTTACAGATAGACTGACATATGTCAAATGTTAATTTCTTTAATTTGGATGATTATAACTGAAAACTAATGAAATTCACAAATGCAGTATCTCAAAATATTAGAATATTGTGTAAAGGTTCAATGTTGAAGACCCCTGGTGTCACTCTCCAATAGCTAATTAACTCAAAACACCTGCAAAAGCCTTTAATGGTCTCTTTGTCTAGTTCTGTGGTCACTCAATCATGGGGAACACTGCTGACTTGAGAGTTGTCCCAAAGACGACCATTGACACCTTGCACAAGGAGGGCAAGACACAAAAGGTTATTGCTAAAGAGGCTGGCTTTTCAGAGCTCTGAGATGGACTTTTGTTATTGACCAAATACGTATTTTCCATCAGACAGTGGGATATTTCTGGATTTTATTTCTCGTTTTGTCTCTCATAGTTGAGGTAAATTTATGATGAAAGTCACAGTCCTTTCTCGTTTTTTGAGTGGGAGAATTTGCACAATGTGCAGGCTGCATAGGCCTGAAGGCGAAGCCAATGTGAAAGTGACAACAATTACAGTTCCCCCTACATCACTAGGGGCTGGCTCCAAAACAGAGCAAAATCTCTTTCAATTCAATTCAATTCAAGTTTATTTAAATAGCGCCAAATCACGACAAGAGTCGTCTCAAGGCACTTCACATAATGAACATTCCAATTCACAGTTCATTAAGCCAATCAGAAATAATGTGTCCTATATAAGGAACCCAGCAAATTGCATCAAGTCACTGACTAGTGTCAGTGACTATACAGCAATGCTCATACTAAGCAAGCATGCAGCGACAGTGGAGAGGAAAACTCCCTTTTAACAGGAAGAAACCTCCAGAGAATCCTGGCTCAGCATAAGCAGCCATCCTCCACGACTCACTGGGGATCGAGAAGACAGAGCAGACACACACACACACACACACACACACACACACACACACAATAATGTGTCTACAGTTCTATTGTGATGTCTTAGTAAATATTCTATTTGGTGAGATAAACTTTATTGTATTTTTCCTAGTGGATCTCTAATTAAATGGGTAAACTAGCAGTAACACATCCAATGTCAAGGAAAGCAAAAAGTTATTATCAGGAGAGGGAGAATGTTTAAGTGATTAGCAGCAGTGTGCTAGACGATGACCCCCTCCATGAGGCAGGGCAAGGGAGAGCCGTCTTTACCGACTGTATACTCCACCTCCCTCTACTCCCCCACTTGTCCAGATTTAGGCTAACGTCAGATTTCAACCATAGGCCCTATCAAATAAAAATGTTTTAAGCCTAGTTTTAAATGTAGACAAAGTGTCTGCCTCACGGACTAAGGCTGGGAGCTGGTTCCACAGGAGAGGAGCCTGATAACTAAAAGATCTGCCTCCCATCCTAATTTTAGATATTCTGGGAACCACCAGTAGACCTGCAGTCTGAGAGCGAAGTGCTCGGTTAGGAACATATGGAAAAATCAGATCACTGATGTATGATGGAGCTTGATTATTAGGAGCTTACATGTGAGAAGGAGGATCTTAAAATCTATTCTGAATTTAACAGGTAGCCAATGTAGGGAAGCTAGGACAGGAGAGATATGATCTCTCTTTAATTCTCATCAGAACTCTAGCTGCAGCATTTTGGACAAGCTGAAGACTTTTAACTACATTCTGTGGACTTCCTGAGAGTAATGAATTACAGTAATCCAGTCTTGATGTAATAAATGCATGAACTAGTTTTTCAGCATCACTCCTGGAAAGTATGCTTCTAATCTTAGCAATATTCCGAAGGTGGAAAAAGGAAATCCTACAAACCTGTTTAACCTGGGATCTGAATGACATGTCCTGGTCAAAGATAACACCAGGGTTCCTTACTTTGTTCTCAGAGATTAATGTAATGCCATTCAGGTCAGGCGACTGGCTAAGCAATTTCCTTTTCTGGATTTCTGGTCCAAAGACGAGAACTTCCGTCTTGTCTTGATTTAAAAGCAAAAAGTTTAGAGCCATCCAATGTTTTATGTCCTCAAGACAAGCCTGTACTCTACCCAACCGATTAGGTTCATCAGGGTTAATGGATAAATATAGCTGAGTATCGTCAGCATAACAGTGGAAGTTTATCCCATGCTGTCTAATGATTTTACCAATTGGGAGCATATATATAGTAAAAAGAATTGGTCCAAGCACTGAACCCTGTGGTACTCCACAAGTAACCCTGGAGTATGAAGAAGATTTGTCATGTACATTTACAAAATGAAATCTATCAGACAGGTAGGATTTAAACCAGCCCAGTGCTGTTCCTTTGATCCCTACAACATGTTCACAACCATTTTAAAACACAAACTTCACAGCAGGAATAAACATCTTTAAAGCTTGGTACAAAAACATTTTAGGTTTAATGGATCTAGTTTATAGTCATGACAATTCTGAGGGTGGCTGAATCTTTTTGTTACTCATCTGTGGCAACTAGCTCACCCATAGGCACTAGGGTTATGTGTCATTTTGACTAGCTGTGTTTAGTCTCCTTTAAGCAGCATAAATGAGCTCAATGTGAAGAGAAAACATAACATCATCAAATCTGAAAACAGTAGTGACCAAACTTCAATCTGACTTGTGTTTTCAGGTTTAGTTTTATTACAAGAGTGAAGTTAAATATTTTTATGTGACATAAGTTCAACAGAACCTCCAGTAAACATTTCATTCTGTTTCCATAAATGCTTTAGTGTTAATTGACTACATTGTTTTAACAACTTATGACATCACCACTCTCAGCCAATCATTTTGGCCTGATCCAAACCCAACCCAACAGTCTGCAGCTCTCTTATTAGTGACCCAGCTGGAGAAGGTTTCAGAGGCTCATCAAGTGGGACATCAGTTGGTTGGGAGGAATAAACAGTAATTCGTAAAGGTTTTAGTTTACATCAGTTTATATGTTCTTTTATTTGTTGAACAGATGTTATGAACCTATTTGACTCTGTGAACATGTGTAGAAAATGCCACTATGTGTATTTTATAAGACATCTAGTGCATTTTTTTAACGAAAGTCCAACATGATCATTAGAAGATGCTAAACAAGGTTTGAAGTTTCACACGTGATTTATTTGCAAGCATTTGTTTTCAAACTATGTCCTTTACTTGTGTTTTGAAAGTAATTTTACTCATAATTAGACCTGATGTGATGAACTTGTGAGACTCGGACAGGTGTTCTCATCAGATGACTGCAGGAAGCATCTCCAGACCTTCCATACAACTCTGACCAGGACCAGATAGTAAATTATTAACTGTGACCATAAATGTGTTCTTCTGTTCATGATGGAGAAAATGTATTTTGATGAAAAATGTCAGGATAGTTGTGCTGTGAATCTGCCAACAGTTTAAATATTAGATATAAATGTGTTTGCTTCATTTTCTTACCCTCATCTTACATTGTCTTTTTTTAGGATTTCAGTTACTGTTATTTTACAATATACTGAAAATCTCCTTTGCATTTTAACACTTCTAAAGCATAAAAACCATCATGACTCTACATACATGAGATTGTATCTTTTCCCCCTTAGATATTGAGAGGGAGATGCTGGTGATGAACTCTACCTACTCCAGACCTCAGGTCTTCTTCTTGAGTAACAGGTCTTCTTCTTGAGTAATACCAGTTCTGAATCAACAGAGGGCGCTGTGGTTTCACCCAAAGACAGCTTCTCTAGTGCTCTGACTAAAAACACAGTGGCTATGTTGGTTTGGCTTGCCCTCAGTGCCATCAACAGCAGCATGGTGCACACCTTCCTGCGGCATAGGTGCCATCTTTAACCCTAACGGATCAGAATTCCAGCATATAAACCCAAAAATGTCTAATTACAGCAATCAGATGTCTAAAATGTGATTCCTTATTTGTACATTTCAGTTAAAATTTTTATTGTAAAATATTTAAAGACACAGGTGTGTTTTACCATGTATATGTCAATGGTTTTTACCTTCCAGTCTGTTCTACGAGAACCCGCGCTACATCATGTTCATCTACATGGTGGTCAACGACGCTCTGCAGCTCACGCTGGTGACAGCTCTGTATGTGGTCAGCTACATCTTCAGGAAGATCCACACCTCTGTCTGCTGCCTGCTGGTGAATCACTTTATGATGTTTCATGTGTTGCGTCAGCTGTTGCTCCTGGGTTGCAGCGTTCAACAGGAAGTAAAATTCATGTAAAAACAGATTGAAACAAGGATGAAAATCTTTTCCAGTTTATTAATGACACGATAAGAATGACTATAGAGAATGAATGGGTATTCATGTGTTCATTTGAGTTCTAGATTTTCTAACAGAGTAGATCTTCTCCATCCTCAGATTATGACAGCCATCCTGACCACGCGCTCCACCCCTCTCATCCTGGCCGGCATGGCTGTGGAGCGCTTCATCTCCATCTGCTTCCCTCTCTACTACTGCCAGACGTGCACCGTCCACCGCACCCTCGCCCTCATCGGTGTCATCCTCGTCCTCGCCGCCACCCCTCCAATCACAGACCTCTTGATTACCATCGTCAAGGAGCCTCAGAGCTTCTTCCACAATGCCATCTTTTGCGACCATTCGCTTCTCTTCCGTGACCAGTCCATTTACTACAAGAACTGTGTGTTTGATGGTTTGTACCTGTCCTTCGTGGTGCTGATGCTGCTCTACACCTACTGTAGGATTATGCTGGCAGCTCAAGCCGCATCCACAAGTCTGGCATCGGTGAAGAGAGCCAGGAACACAGTGCTTCTTCACGGGGTGCAGGTGGGCGAGAACGCCTGTTTAACAATAAGAAATAACTTTGGTTTAAAAGAAATCTATCACAAATGATCAAAGAGCAAAAGATGAAAAATCTGAGCAAAACTATTGTGGTTTTATTACTTTTTGTGCCACTAAAAATTTATCATTCATGTATTTCATCCAGAATCCTGAATTGTTCTGTGCTCATGTTTCAGCTGCTGCTGTGCATGCTGGCCTTTGTGGTTCCCTCCCTCCAGGCTGCTCTCATCTCCATCTTCCCCCAGCTCAGCCTGGAGATCCGCTACATCTTCTTCCTGCTCGTCTACATCATTCCTCGCTTCCTTAGCCCAGTTATCTACGGCTTTCGGGACAAACTGTTCAGGAAGTACTGGATCCGTTATCTGTTTTGTCAGTGGATCAGAAGGATCAGACCTGTTGTGATGAAATCAGGTTGAAATTCCTCAGGAACCAGAAACTCATCCCTCAGTCTGCTGTGTACGAGATCCAGGTCCAAGTGTCAAATTCCAGATGTCATCTTTAATTTTATTTCATTTTTCTTTAATGAACACATCAGTTGTATTGGAGGTGGTGATTGAGGATGTGAAGTGGTATATTTCAGTTCTTGAATAAAAGATGAGTGGTGTAAATGTAATAGGATGACTTATGATTAATTTGTGGTGGTAACATAATTAGGCGTGTGTGTGTGTGTGTGTGTGTGTGTGTGTGTGTGTGTGTGTGTGTGTGTGTGTGTGTGTGTGTTTCATTCATAACAAAAACCTATAAACCATGAACAAGAATTCAGTCCAATAATAGAATGAAACGGAGCAGAAACTCTTGATAGTCACCACCCCTTTTCTAAGGTGAGAAGTCTTAAGCAACATATAAAACATCAAGTAAGTATATAACAGAGCACTTACAGAAGGTATTCATAGCCAATGCAACTAATATTTCCTTTTGAATCTGTTTAAGTAAAAAAGCAAAATATTTAATGCATTTTCTAAGGAATATTTAATGACCCTGCAGCTTTATTTTTCATGTCTAAGTTATTCCAACATGTATGATAACATTAACTACAATGCCGTACTTGTTAATTCTAGTTCTAAACTGAGTTCCTTTCAAATTATTCTGTAAGTATGTTCTCTTTTGTTTCAAGCCCTGTGAGGTGTGGTCCCTATATGAGAAGTCCAGCGTCCCACTGGGCCATTTCAGGAAGGTTTCCTACGGCTGAATGTTCAGCACCAATTTAGAGTGACACTCCAACAGAGTCTACCTACCAGATCCCCAACTGAAGGTCCAGTACCAACGGAAAGCGGCACACTTCAACACAGAGTACCTACCAGATCCCCCAACTGAAGTTTCAGCACCATGGACAGTGGCACTCTAGCAAGAGGCTTCCTACCAGAACCCCAGCTGGAACCTATTGGGCCATGATGATGCAGTCTTTTAAGACTTGCGTTTGTCACGTCTTCAGGGGTACTGAGATTCATAGTCTGTTGTCCTCCACAGCTGCTGGGTAGCTTTGGCTCAAGAGAGACTTGATGAGACTTTGGGACTGAGATATTTTCTGACACATTTGTGATAAACGTAGAGAGCATATAGCTTGCTGTTGGTTTTAGTTAAGTCTTCTGGTGTTGGTACAGTTTGCTGATTTCACTTTATTTTATTGATCATTTTTGAGATCACTTCACTGGTTACCTTACTCACCGGCTCTAGTGATGTTGTGTTTTATAACAACCTCGTTTAGTTATTTTCCTTAAACCTGTTGCTACTTTATGGTCATTTGTGTATAAATCTCTTTTGTTGAGGAATATTTCTATCAAATAAATACTTTTGTTGAGTAGTGGCCACACCCTCCTCCTCCTCCTCCTCCTCCTCCTCTTCTTTTAATCCTGTTAAGTCCTATCTTATCTGTGCTACTCCTTTCTGGACCAACCTACAAGCTATAGGCAGAGGTGTAACATCTTCTCACAATAAAAATCTGAACCTTGGTCGGTAATATATTTATACTGGGCTTGCACACAAGTTTTATTAACTTCCAGTTGAGTGAATCATTAAATTTAGGTGCTCTATATTTAAGGAAAAGAGGCTTAGAGGGGCATCATGATGACTATTGTCAGTTGTTCACGATGTTCCTTTTTTGTCTAACTAAAACGGGCTATGTAGGTTTTATGAGTTGATCCCGAGATTTCAGTACAATAAGTTAAATAAGGAGTTATCAGTGTTTAGAAGGGAATTAGTGGTCAATGCATTTGTGTTAAAAGTCAAACGCTATTGGAGGAAAGGGCTCATTTAAAAGTGCCAGTATGTTTCAGAAGGAGTTACTCGTAATGTTGCTTAATGACCAGAAGAGGGCAGAGGTTGTCCAGTGAAAACTGAACCAGTCAGTAGCCATAACACATTTAATATATGAACAATTGTTACATTCAACAATTTTTAAATTAAATTTTTGAATCTACAGCACTTTAACACGTCTTGACAGATTATGATTGTTGGATGGTTTATTTTAATTAACTTTATTTTTAAATAGGTATCTTAATAAATCACACCATTGTTTTGTACAATTATGATCACTACTTTTAATTTTTGTTTTTTAACTTAAATAAAAACATATCGTTTCTTTCGAAAATTATTTTGATCTTATTTGTTTTAAAACTTGCACGCTATTGGATAGGCTGTTTATAATCAAAAACAATGTGTTTGTAATGTCAATGTATGGACACAAGAGGGTAGCAGTCGTCCAACAAAAGCTGCCCAAAACATTTGAAAATCAAAATACTTTAAATACTTGATGAAGTTTCTTGAGTCAAAATCTTTTAAAATGACAAAATTGCAATAGTCATTGGCTTATAGTCATGTTTGTTTTTATGATTCACATGTTTTGAAATTGTTTATTTGACCAGAACACATGATTTGTGGCAGGTGCAGCACTTGATGTCGTCCTGAGGAGCCAGTGTAAATCAGGTGTGCTGAAGCAGAGACATGGAAAACATGTAGGACAGTGGTCCCTGCGGACCAGGGTTGGGAAACACTGATTTTGCTTATAAAAGAAAAAAAAACGGGAGTTTTTTTATTCATATTTTCACTGTTATATATACATTTATATATGTCAAAGTTCCCAACTGAATATTTTGTTGGGAAGTCCATCCATCCAGCTATTATCAGCCGGGTCGCAGGGGCAGCAGCCTAAGCCAAGAGGCCTAGACTATCCTCTCCCCAGCCACTTGGGCCAGCTCCTCTGGGGGAATCCTATGTTCCCTGGCCAGCCGAGAGATATAGTCCCTTCAGTGTGTCCTGGGTCTTCTTTTATGTCCCCTCCTGGTTGGATGTACCCTACAAATCTCACCTGGGCAGCGTTCAGGATTTCAGAGCTATCTCAACTGGCTCCTCTCGAAGTGGAGGAGCGGCAGATCTACTCTAAGCGCCTCCTGGATGACCGAGCTTCTCATCCTCTCTCTAAGGGAGAGCCCAGCCACCCTGTGAAGAAAACTCATTTCAGCCACTTGTATCCAAGAGCTGTTTTCTTGGTCACTACCCAAAGCCTGTGACCGATAGGTGAGGGTAGGAACGTAGATCGACCGGTAAATCGAGACTTTGCCTTCCAGCTCAGCTCCGTCTTCACCACGACAGATCGGTACAACTCTCGCATCGCTATGCAGAACCAATCCAACTATCGATATTGCGCTCCAGCTTTCCCTCATTTGTGAGCAAGACCCCGAGATACTTAAACTCCATCTCTTGAAGCAGGACCTTGTCCCTGACCTGGAGAAGGCATTTTACCATTTTCCGATTCAAGGCAATGGTCTCAGATTTAGAGGAAATTAAATGTTCAATTTAGAGTTAAATATTTATTTTTAAAACTAAATATTTAGGTCAGACCTGTACATTTAGTTTGCAACATACGTATTTAATTCACTAACTAAATATTTATTTAGGAGCTAAACATTTAGTTTACAAACTAAATATTTAGCTCCAAATTAAATATTCATTCCCCAAAATAAATTTATTAATCCCAGCTAAATGTTGATTTTGGATTTAAACCTAAATATTGATTTTTCAAACCAAAATAAATATTGAGCTTTAATTTATTTAATTTGGGAGTTTTAACATTTACGTATGAACAACATGGTGAAAATAAGACTTTGGGAAATGAATTCCCTTTTTTTCTCTTGAGACCAAATTACCCTGCTGTTAAATTATGACTGACCTTACAAATGCATACCATAAAAATCTACTAAATACCAAAAAAACCGAGGAACCTAAAACATTCAGTAAAATAAAATATGAACGCGTTAGGTGTCGCAAAAATACTACAAATCTGATCCTTCTTCCGCCGAAGGCTGTGGTCCTGTTCCGGAATTTGCCGGAAAAAGCCGAATATTTTCCCTGAGACGTCGCGGCTGCTCACAGCTGACCGTTTTTTCCTCTCAGTTGGAATAGGTCTGGACTTCAGTCACCGGGAACAAAACATCTTCTGTTCTTCTCCGCTTCCTCATTCTGGTTTGAATCACTTTGTGGTGTTTTTTCTTGTTTTTGGTGTTTTGGAGAGACCGGAAGTGTGGAACTTGTGACAGCAGCATGGGGTGAATCTGAAGATGTGGATTTTATTCCGGTGATGAAGAAAGTGACAAAACTCAAGGTTGGTGTCGGAATGAAACTCTTTTTATGAAATCATTAAATCTGATGGTTTTTTTTCAGGAGTTTAATGGTTTTCTTCTAGTTTCAGGTTCCTGATTCTTTATCTGGTTTAAAAACATGATTGAATAATTTTCTATCGAAGCGTTTCTGCTTCGCTGTTTTCAGGCAAGTTCTGAATTATAAATCAGTTTTATTTCTGTGTGCACCATGTGCATCCCAGCGTGGGTTCATCATCTAATCACACACACACACACACACACACACACACACACACACACACACACACACACACACACACACACACACACACACACACACACACACACACACACACACACACACACACACACACACACACACAGTCCCAACTCGGCTTCCCAGTGGTAAAATTTAAATTAAAAACATCACAATAAACTTTTATTGTTTGTTTCTTATTAAAAAAATAACCATCAAACTAACTACAGCAGGGTTTAAATTCAGATAAACGTGTGAATTGGTGACTGATATGACTGAGTATAAGCGCTTTGGAGTCCTCTGACTATGAAAGGGTCATTTATCATTTAAAATAAAGATATATGATTGGAAGTCCAAATATCCAAATCAAAATAAAGTCAATACATAAATATGAGGAAACGTTGTCTGCTGTGGAACGATCACATCATCACAAGTTCATTTTTTTCTGATAAGCATAATTCAGGTTTTTATAATAAATAAGGACAACAATGAGTGACCAGCTTAAACAAACTCCAAGTAGACCTCCAACAGAGTCATTGCACATTTTTATTATTACCTCAGCTCAGGATTAAAATAACAGTTAATACAGTAAACCTCTGCACACAAATAAGGGATTAACGAGATAAACTTCCAAATGTGTACCTTTTTTTTATTAATATTGTAACAAGGAAGTTTCCCACTTTGAGGGTTGCTGGTGTAATCCCACCTTCCTTCATCATGTGTTTCATTAAATATAGATGATTTGTTGTCTCAATATGACCTTTCTGGCATTAAAAGTTTAATGGTTGAAGGTAAAATCACCAGAATGATGTAAAATGATCAGAAATAACATTTAAAGGATTAAAAGTGGCCTCAACGAGTGAAAAAGTACAAAACCAACAAAAATACCTGAAATAATCTAGAAAGACATTTTAAAAACTGAGATTAAATTATGTGAAGAGTCTCAGTTGGTGACATTCTGAAACCGAAAGATGTTTCCTGCTAACTCACCATGCTGCTTTCAGATGGTTTTCCGCTGCTGCAGTCTTCTCCACCCAGGTCATGTGTCCAAAGAAAAAGTCTGATTAAATACCTGCAGGAAGAGGGCGAATGAAGTCAGATTGCTGTGGTTAAAGCTTCATTGGGCTTCCGTTCGCTTAACACCTGAATCCTCGGGCCATTTCTGCAATTAGAGACTTTATAACATTAGAACGAAGCAGCACTTTAGCTGGATCTGTAGATCTTACTGCAGCCCCTGTCCTGTTAGTGAGGCAGTTCATCAAGGTGGGCTCAGAAAAACGTCTAAAATAAAACATCGGATTTCTAAGTAAAAACAAGAGTTGATAAAGATTCAGACAGCACATCCTCATGTGGTTTATCATTGTTATTTATGATAAAACCTCGTTTTCTGCTGAAGCAGTGATCCAGATATAATCATTCAAACTTCACTTGTTGCTAAGCGATATAAAAAAACATTTACAAACTAAGCTGGGTCTAATTCTGACTCTCTGCAGTCACATTTTAACGGTGCTTAGTGTAAAAGTATCTCAGAAAACAGCAGCAGCCTCTGAGAACGACCTAAAAAGCCACAACAACATTTTTAAAGTTTCATGTGAACTTTGTTATTAATTCATCTGCTGAGAGACTTGACGGTGTAGATTTTACTGTCAGTGTGTTCACTATGTGGGTGTTGAGACTGGGAGTGCATTATTAAATCAGCATGGTGTGTGGGAGGTATTTGTGCATTCACTGTATTTTTTCTAAATTGTAATAAATTTATTTTCCTGCAACTTGGTCACCTGGAGGAACGTGTCAGCTACACCGATTCAAAGAGTCTAAATCACGAGTTTCAGAGCAGAAGTTAAAGTTTAACAGGAGCTTTATTCAGTCGTGGCTTCATCTAAAATACAATGAAAGTCCAATGTTGCTAAAAAAAAAAGCTCAAACATTGAATCTATATTAAACCTACTAAACCTGTTATCTTATATGGGCAAAGTTTGGATTTCAGAACAACAATCCAGTAAATGCTTTAAAAAGCTGCAACATGTAAAGAAAACCTTCACAAGACTATAGAAGATGTATAATTCTCTACAGCAGAAAGTTTACATGAGAACAGATTGGTTTCATTTCAGTGTTACGTGAACTTTCCCAAGAGGAATGTGTTTCGTGTTCATTAATAAATCCTCGTGTAACTAAATCTGTATGAAAATGGTCGCATTAACAAGTCAAACATGGATAAACACGCCTTCGGATGATGTGAAGAATGTTCTAAAGTGACTAAAACAAGCGCATTTCTGTTGATGCGTCTTTTGTATTTTTGGTTTCATAAAGGAAGCTGTGTGGGATTTCATGTGTTAAAGGAGCAATATGCAAGAATCCTAAAGTGAAATGATCACAAAAGTCTAATGAAGGTAAGTTATACTGAAACAGACGACTGGGGGTTCGTCAGTTTTTCTCCTTTAAAGTGACTGTGTATTTTCCCCGCCGATAGTGGGCAGTACATACAAAAATCGTTGCAAGCAGGCGGTAAATTGTGCGTGCGAATTAAGACTTTACCAATGGATGGCCATTGGGGTCAAAAATCCCTGGGAGCGTAACATTCAGCAAAATAACAAGCACATCAGACTCCCTTTCATCACTAGCAATGAGTGACGAGGTAACTAGAGAAAGTTTTTGTAACCAGTTGTTCCACATGGGCTCCCATAGAAGGATACATGACATCTAATATGAAATCGCCCAGAGACGTAGGCCCAATCGCAATACTCGCATTCCCACCCTTGCACCATCCTTCACTTAGGCATTCCAGTCCAGGGGTGCGAGTGCATAGGGAAGCGATACTCAGTAGGTGGCCTGCGGGCCAGGTCCAGCCCGCAGGGCCCTTCTTTGTGGCCCCGAACCGCCAGCAACTATCTCCCCTGGACCGGCAGTCACATTTGCATCGAAGGGGTAGGATAGGCTGGTGTGTATTGGTGTTTGGTTATATTGTATTGGTCTGTGTGCATTTGATCTGCCAGTACCCCTGGAGTAAGGTATCTCGATTCTCAAGTAAGGAAGTTGACCGTGCCCCTTTGGCACCGTTGATGCGCACTTTCCGGATTACCCACCATCCATTGCAGAGTGGGAATTTTGAGAAAGAGGGAGCAATGGCTCAAGTGCCTTTTCTGAAAATATGTATTTTCTAACTAAATAAATTTATTTAAGACAATTAATTATATTTATTCATGCTCTAAAAAGTTTGTTTAAGAAGTAGCACAAACAGTGACTGCATCCTGGCATGCGTCGTGGTTGATGACACAATGCTTACTGTTCCATTTGGGCAATTATCTGCACATTTGTGTACTACACACTAGAAACCTTACTAAAGACTGTAGAGAGCAGTCCGAGTTTTGGGATTGGGCCCTAGACCCACTACCATGTACCTTAGACCCAATTTTTATGGTTATATGTTACAAAGTTGCCAGTATTTTTCAACAATAGGCATCATTTCATTCTTTTTCAGCAACCTTTTGATGGATATTTTCAGAGATTAGCTGTCAAAAATAGACATTGTTTCTTTAAAGATAAATTCTGGTTGAGAACCAGAGAACCTCTCACACTGCCTGAGTGCATGCTCAAGGTCATGGCTTGAAGACACCAACACACCCATGTTGATGATGTAGTTTTTTTTACTCTTTGTGCTGTTAGACTCAAAACATTCACCACTTTTCAGGCATGACCGTAAACACAAATCTTGCTTCCAGTCATGGAAAAAAAAAGGCTCCTTGAGGTCTCAGTGGTCTTCAGAGGGAAATAAGTGGTTGATTTCTCTCAGATTTATGGATGTTCTACAACAAAAGTTCAGTTTTTCTTCAGTTTCCACCTGAGACACAGAAACAGAAACAAACACAACAAAAGCAGGTCTTTCATTTGTCCACCACACTGTTCCCTGTCACTTCCAGTGGGAAGGCATCAGGACATCATTAAATCGCCCGCATGAAAAGAAGCAACGATTACAAGTAAAACTCTTTCATGGGTGCCTCATTATTTTTTAAAGCTAGAAGAAACTCGTACTAACTTCTCATCATTGATCGTGAGCTGCAGCGTCCACAAATCCAGCAGGAGGCCGTTCTCACATCTCTCTCTCTCGCTTGTTCTGAGACGTTTGCACCAAATGGAGACAGTCAGAGGAAGAACGTTTTCACAGATAACCTGCAAAATGTTAACTTCAAGTTCAGCTAAAACCTCCTTTCAATAAATCTAACATTCATGTTTAATTTGAGAAGTCAGAGCAGGACTTTACTGTAACACTTGTTTGATCATTTTCACCTTTACTAGTAATAATTCATGTGATGCTCTTTGACTGTTTTTGTGGGTTTATGCATGCAGCTGAGAACGTTGCAGGTGTTTTGGCCATCAGAAATCATAGACACTTTCCTCCAAGATAGTTTATTTCTAAATAAAGATCTAAGAATTCAAATCAGGCTTCACTAAGATCGAAAATACTTTTAACCCTCCCATTGTCCTATTGGGTGACCCCGACAGGAAAGTTGACCATTGAGCAGGATTGCTGGTTTATCCCTTGAGGTCCACGCGGCTGGGGTGAGGAGAGAGCACCACCTCACCCCTGCCATGTGGACCTCAAGGGATAAACCATCAATCCTGCTCAATGGTCAAGTTTCCTGGTGGGGTCACCCATGAAGACAGTGGGAAGGTTAAAGTGTTTACCCCTCCTAAAACCCAGAAACAGACATCGGCTAGCTGCGGCTCAGTTTAGCGAAGGTCAGAAGGTTACTCATAGAACCAAACTGTTGACATGACACTTACGTTTGGGGGTTTCCTCCTCAGTATGAACCGATCTCTGTCACTGATGGTTTTGGGGTCTGAATCCTTCAAAGTTTCTGCAAAACTTTGGACATGTGGAAAGACAGCGCTATTTCTTTTCTATTTGATCGAGTTGAGGAATTTCTTGATTTCCTGAATGCGTCCACATCTGCCCAAGACAAATCCATGCTTCTGTCAGTTAAAGCTGAAATAGGAGGTGGAGAGACGGAGATCCCACGTGGAGTCTGGAGTGAAGTTGGTTCTGTGTTTTTTGCTGTTGGTCTTAGATGTTTCCCAATGCTTTCCACTGCGTCTTTCCTGGGAATTCTCACTGTAAACAAAATAAAGTTCTAAAGTAGCCCGACCAATTTTGGGATCTCCGGTGGTTTCCTTCTCATCTCTGCTGAATCACTTTTGCCTCAGCAGAAATCACCATGGTGAAGGAGAGCCTACCCAACTGGGTCCACCAGGACTCTGATGAAGGTCTTGTCCACGTGAACGTTGGTGGTCTGAAGAGGAGCCTCTGTTCCAGCACGCTGAAGAAATTCCCAGACACCAGACTGGGAAAACTGTTGGCGTGTGACTCAGAGGAGGACATTCTGCAGGTCTGTCTCTGATGTTTGGGACGAGATTAAACGCCGACCGCCCTGACGTGTGTTCGTTTAATTTTGCAGGTGTGTGATGATTATGACGTGCAGCAGAAGGAGTTTTATTTTGACAGGAATCCCGGCCTCTTCCCTTATGTCCTCCACTTTTACCAGACTGGGAAACTTCACGTGATGGAGGAGCTCTGTGTTTTCTCCTTCAGGTCTGTTTGATCTCGCTCTGCTGACCCATCTTCCTGTTGCACACAACAGCCTGATTACGTTGATTTACTCACACATCCTACCTGTTTGTTTTAGGAGCTGAGTGGTTGCTTCGTCAGCTCTGAGCTGCATTAGTTCAGATCTTCTTGCGCTTACAGCAGATGTGGTTTATGTTGAACTGGAAGCAGATGCAGCAGATTGTTGTCTCCACTAAAATAGACATTTGATGATTTGTGACTGATGTTTCTTTTTCCATAAAACCCATCATCTGTGGAAAACTGAACTAAAAAAAAAATTTATTTTTTTACACGTCTTCAATAAAGAATCTTTCCGGAGTTTTCCCTTTCAGAAATTATGTATGGGTTTTCAGAAATCCATAAAAGTGATGATCTTATCATGTACTGTGATATAATGCAAGCAATACTTCTTTTATTTTTTGCTACACACGCCCCCTGCCCCGCAGAGCTCCGTGCAATAGGAAACTGAGCGCTGACCAGAACTAACCAACAGCGTTAGACTACCGCTTAGATGCTTCAAATTTAAGGAATACCTCGGCTGATGCAGAGTTGATGAACTTTTCACGGACAAGCAAGTCTTTAAAATATAAATATAAGAGAACACAGCATGGCATGAGAATAATACTTGTCAAACAACGTGTTTTAGCTCGGTTTGTTGGCTACAGAAGCACATTTATAAACAGAAACGTGAAGTCGCCATCTTAAAAAAACAGAGCGACAGACTTTTTGTGTGATATGCATGTCAGCCACTAGATGGTGCCATCGGATAAGAGAAATACTTCAGAAATAGACTTTAAGAAGAAATTCAAAAATATTTTCTGTTTTTGCTAATTCAGCTTAGGAAGACAAATATACATGAAAACAACAGCGTTCCCTTGCCTTGACGTGGGTCATCTGGAGGTGGACCACATTGGCGAGTGCCTGGTGGCTTTTACCCATAGAGCCCGGCCGGGCACAACCTGAAGAGGAAACGTGGGTCTCCCTTTGCATGGGCTCAACACCCATGGTAGCCGAGAGCGGAGACCTTGGCGGTCTGAGCCTCGGCTACAGAAGCTGGCTCTTGGTACATGGAACATTCTCTGGTGGGGAAGGAACCTAAGTTGGTGTGTGAGGTTCTGATTTGATATAGTCGGACTCACCTCAACGCATGGCTCTGGCCACGGAACCAGCTTCCGTGAGAGGGGTTGGGCACTCTACCACTCTGGAGTGGTTCCGAGTGAGAGGCGCCGAGCAGGGGTGAGCGTCATAGTTGGTTTACCCCGGTGAACGAGAGGGTAGCCTCCCTGTGCCTACGTGTGGGGTTACAGATCCACACTACAGTTCACACTACCCACCCTTTTTGGAGACCTTGGAGGAGGTGCTGCAGAGTGCTCCCTCCGGTGACTCCCTTGCTCTGCTGGGGGACTTTAATGCTCTTGTGGGCAACGACAGTGAGACCTGGAGAGGTGTGGTTGGGAGGAACAATTCAATTCAATTCGATTCAAAAATACTTTATTCATCTTCATCTTCAAATTCAGTAAATGCCCCCCCGATCTGAATTCGAGCAGTGTTTTGTTATTGGACTTCTGCGCTCATCATGGAATGTCCATAATGAACACCATGTTCAGACATAAAGGTGTCCATATGTGCTCTTGGCGCCAGAATACCTTAGGCAGCAGCTTGATGATCGACTTGTTGTCATTTTGTCTCGGGTGAAGAGAGGGGCCGAGGTGTCAACTGACCACTACCTGGTCACCGATCTGTTCGTAACTTATTGACAAGATTTCTAGGTGCAGCCAAGATCTGTTTTGGTGGCCTGAAGATCAGGTCTCTGCTTTTTGCAGATGATGTGGTCCTGTTGGCTTCTTCAGAACTTGATCTCCAGCTTTCTCTGGAGCAGTTTGCAGCCAACTGTGAAGCAACTGGGATGAGAATCAGCTCCTCTAAATCCGAGACCATGGTCTTGAATCGGAAAAGGGTAGGAGGCCATCTCCAGGTCTAGGACGAGGTCCTGACTCAAAGGTAGGAACAAGCTCTCGATTTACTGGTCGATCTACGTTCCTGCCCTCACCTATGGTCACGAGCTTTGGGTAGTGACCGAAAGAACGAGATTGCAGATGCAAGCGGTCAAAATGAGTTTTCTCAGCAGGGTGACTGGGCTCTCCCTTAGAGATAGGGTTCGAAGCTCATTCGTCCGAATGGGACTCTGAGTAGACCCGCTGCTGCTCCACATCGAGAGAAGCCAGTTGAGGTGGCTCAGGCATCTGGTTAGGATGCCTCCTGGACGCCTTCCTGGTGGGGTTTTCTGGGCACATCCAACTGGGAGGAGACCCAAGGGAAGACCCAGGACATGCTGGGGGGACTATGTATCTCGGCTGGCATTTCCCGGAGGAGCTGGCCCAAGTAGCCCCCACGACGCAAGCCCAGATAAGCAGCTGAAAATGGATGGATAGATAGATGGAGCCTAATTCAGCTTTATTTCTGTTATTTTTCATAAAGTCAGGAGATTGAGTACTGGGGCATCAATGAGTTCTTCCTGGACACCTGCTGCAGTTACCGATATCACGACCGCAAGCTGGAGAGCAGCAAACACCGCAGCTGGGACGACGAGAGCGACGTCAGCAGCATCGACACTTCGGTGGATGAAATATCCGACTTAAACAAGTCAGACATTGTGGTGCTTTTTTAGTAAATAGTGAACTGCACACCAGGGTTGACCATTCTCTTCCTCCTGCTTCAGAGACATGCAGCACTTCCAGGAGGTGCGTTATGGGAACATCAAGAAGTGTTTGTGGCTGACGCTGGAGAACCCAGGTTACTCCATCCCCAGCAAGCTCTTCAGCCTGCTCTCCATTGGAGTCGTGATCACATCCATCACCACGATGTGCATCAACAGCATCCCAGAGTATCAGGTTGGTGTGGATTTTGGCATGCATGTGGGATTTGAAACATAAAACTGGTTAAAAGGAGAAGAGTTAAAACAGGAAGAGCTGCTGGAGCGGCATAGATACAGAAAAGTAAAAGTATAGGAATAAAACTACCTAAGCTCCAGCAGAGGGTCCACAGACCTTCCTCCTCTGATTTCAAACAGACTTTTGACTCTGATGGGAAGTTGATCGAAGACCCAACCACGCAGACTCTGGAGGTCTTCTGCAGCTGCTGGTTCACTTTTGAGGTGAGGAGATTAAAAACCAAAGTGTGTTTTGCTCTGTATGCTAAATCTGAGTGATGATGTTGATGATTATGATGGACATTTGCACGCGTCTGTTACCTCAGGTTGTGACGCGGCTGCTGCTTACGCCAAACAGAAAGAAATTCTTTCGCCACCCTCTGAACATCATCGACATGGTATCTGTGGTTCCCATCTACATCACCCTCGTCTTCGACTTGTTTGTGGGATCGGAGTCTGAACTGGGAGACCTGGGACGACTTATACAGGTGTTTGATCTGATCACTGGAGCTATGACGTTTAGTGTTAACCCTTTGGCCATGTTTGTGGGCCCCAAAAGGCCAGGATTGGCTGGAGGACTGTGAAAATAAATGATAACAGAACAGGTTAGTTACTCACACATAAATCATTGTTGCTAAATTTCGGATATCATGTTGCAGCTGACTGTGAATCCCACTTTGAATTCTCGTACTGGGATCTTTAAACTCCAGCTAGCCCTCATAGCAACTCCAGTTACTCAGACTCACTTGGTTTTTCTGTCAGGTGTTCAGGTTAATGAGGATCTTCAGAGTGTTGAAGTTGGCCCGACACTCGACCGGTCTGCGTTCGCTGGGAGCCACGCTTCGGGTGAGTCGGGACTCCACAACATTATCCTGTATGTGACAAATGTGAACCAACCCCAGAAATAATGCTAATGAATCTTATCTGTTGGTTTGTGATGTTTGAGTCGACATTTCTGTAAAAATGCAACCGGAAAAAGTTTGATCAATTGCAGACCGTCACACAAAAGCGTTAGGAAAGTTTTTACTCAAATTCATAGTTCGTCGTTGTCGTCTTCGTCGTCTTCCTACGCTTATCTGGGTCCGGGTCGCGGGGGCAGCATCCCAACTAGGGAGCTCCAGACTGTCCTCTCCCCAGCCACCTCCACCAGTTCCTCCGGCAGGACCCCAAGGCGTTCCCGGATCAGATTGGAGATGTAACCTCTCCCAACGTGTCCTGGGTCAACCCGGGGACCTCCTGCCAGCAGAACATGCCTGAAACACCTCCCCAGGGAGGCATGCTGATCAGATGCCTAAACCACCTCAACTGACTCCTTTCGATCTGGAGGAGCAGCGGTTCTACTCCAAGTCCCTCCCGAATGTCTGAGCTCCTCACCCTATCTCTAAGGCTGAGCCCGGTCACCCTATGGAGGAAACTCATTTCGGCCGCTTGTATCTGTGATCTCGTTCTTTCGGTCATTACCCAAAGCTCATGACCATAGGTGAGGATTGGGATGTAGATCAACCAGTAAATCGAGAGCCTGGCTTTCTGGCTCAGCTCCCTCTTCACCACGACAGATCGGCTCAGCGTCCGCATCACTGCAGAAGCCAAACCAATCCACCTGTCAATCTCCCGATCCCTCCTACCCTCACTCGTGAACAAGACCCTGAGATACTTAAAACTCCTCAACTTGAGGTAGGACCTCTCTCCCGACCCGGAGTTGGAAAGCCACCCTTTCCCGGTCGAGAACCATGGTCTCAGATTTGGAGGTGCTGATCCTCACCCCAGCCGCCTAACACTCTGCCGCAAACCTACCCAGCAAGAGCTGAAGGTCAGAGCTGGATGAAACTAGGAGGACCACATCATCCGCCAAAAGCAGAGATGAGATTCTCCTGCCACCAAACTCAACACACTGCACACCACGGCTGCACCAAGAAATTCTGTCCATAAAGATTATGAACAGAACCGGTGACAAAGGGCAGCCCTGGTGGAGTCCAACCCTCACTAGGAACAGGTCCGACTTACTACCGGCTATGCGGACCAAACTCATGCTCCTCTGGTAAAGGGACTGAATGGCCCTTAACAAAAGGCCACCCACCCCATTGTCCTGGAAAGTCCCCCACAGGGTACCCCAGGGGACACGGTCATAAGCCTTCTCCAAATCCACAAAGCACTTGTGGATTGGTTGGGCAAACCCCCATGCCCCCTCCATAACCCTTGCAAGGGTATAGAGCTGGTCCACAGTTCCACGGCAAGGACGAAAACCACATTGCTCCTCCTCAATCTGAGATTCAACTATCAACCGGACCCTCCTCTCCAGTACCTTGGAGTAGACCTTTCCAGGGAGGCTGAGGAGTGTGATCCCCCTATGGTTGGAACACACTCTCAGGTCACCCTTCTTAAAGATGGGGACCACCACCCCGGTCTGCCGCTCCTCAGGAACGGCCCCCAATGATCACGCAATGTTGCAGAGACGTGTCAACCATGACAGCCTTACAACATCCATAGCCTTGAGATACCCAGGACGAATCTCATCTGCCCCCGGGGCTCTGCCGCTGTGTAGTTGTTTGACTACCTCAGCAACTTCTTTCCCTGAGATTGGACAGTCCATCCCCAGGTCTCCCGGCTCTGGTTCCTCCTTGGAATGTGCATACAGTAGGTGGGATTGAGGAGCTTCTCAAAGTATTCCTTCCACCGTCCAACTATAGCCTCAGTTGACATCAGCAGCTCCCCATCCCCACTGTAAACAGTGTGAGCGAGTTGCGGTCTCCCTCTCCTGAGGCGCCGGACAGTTTGCCAGAACCTCTTTGGCGCAGATCGATGCGTTTGGGTCTGCCAGGTCTACACGGCATCTTCCCCTGCCATCTGATCCAACTCACCACCAGGTGGTGATCAGTTGACAGCTCCGCTCCTCTCTTCACTCGGGTGTCCAAAACATACAGCTGCAGGTCAGATGATACGACTACAAAGTCTATCATCGACCTGCAACCTAGGCTGCCCTGGTACCAAGTGTACCGATGGGCATCGTTATGTTCAAACATGGTGTTCGTTATGGCCAAACTGCGGCTTGCACAGAAGTCCAATAACGAAACACCACTCGAGTTCAGATCAGGCAGGCCATTCCTCCCAATCACACCCCTCCAGGTCAAGCTGTCATTGCCCACGTGAGCATTGAAGTCCCCCAGCAGGACAATGGAGTCCCCTGATGGAGCACTATCTAGCATTCGTCCCAGGGACTCCAAAAAGGGTGGGAAATCTGAACTGATATTTGGCTCATAAGCACAAACAAAAGTCAGGACCCGTTCCCCGACCCAAAGGCGCAGGGAAGCTACCCTCTCGTCCCCCGGGGAAAACCCCAACACACAGGCAGAGAGTCTTGGGGCTAACAAAAAACCAACCCCAGCCCTCCGCCTCTCACCCGGAGCAACTCCAGCAAAGGAGAGTGTCCAACCCCTCTCAAGGACTTGGGTTCCAGAGCCACTGCTATGTGTCGAGGTGAGTCCGACTATATCTAGCCAGTACCGCTCAACCTCTGCCACAAGCTCCTTCTCCTTCCCCGCCAGCGAGGTGACATTCCATGTCCCAGTAACCAGTTTCCTTGTCCGGGGATCGGACCGCCAAGGCTCCCGCCTCGGTCTGCCACCCGATCCACATTGCACCGGACCATTCTACAGGACAAGAGGCGGGCTTAGCAAGAAAACAAAAGAAGTATTGTCTACATTGTCTTCGTCTTCGTCTTCCTCCGCTTATCCGGGTCCGGGTCGCGGTGGCAGCATCCCAATTAGGGAGCTCCAGGCCGTCCTCTCCCCGGCCTTGTCCACCAGCTCCTCCGGCAGTACCCCAAGGCGTTCCCGGACCAGATTGGAGATGTAACCTCTCCAACGTGTCCTGGGTCGACCCGAGGGCCTTCTGCCGGCATTGTATCACAGTATATGGTAAGACTATCACAGATTTCTGAGAGAATCATGCATAAATCCTGAAAGGAGTAAAACTCCGGATTGTCTCCATGCTGATTAGGGCTGGAAGCCTGTCGTCCATGAACGCACACCTGTAGCCAGCCAACAGAGGTAAAACATGTTGTTTTACTTATTATTCTCACATTGTGCTGTTTATTCATATGTTTATTTTAAAGACCTAAGAAACATCGCCAACTCTGCATCTGTCCTTACTTCCACAAACATGTGCTCGCTCTGTGATTGAAATCTGTGGATGTCTGATGCTATTGGCTAATGCTGAACGGTGCGCAGTTCACATTGCATGGTGCTGTACAGGACAAGGGACGAGCTTAGCAAAGACAAAACCTGACATGTTGCCTACGTAAGACCTACTACCACCTAATGCCTGAAAGGGGGAAAGCTCTGGGTTGCTGCTTTAAGGATGGGAGAGGATTCAGGCTGAAGTATCAGTTAGAGCTTTATCGTTAAGCCCTTAACCAACGTGCAGCCCTGCGAATATGTTTGAGATGAGCATTAACTACTATTACACCAGGTTTAGTTCAATGTAAGTAAAATTCATGGAATTGTACTTATTCATACTAGCAAGAGCCGTTAATTTTATGTATTTATTTTTTTAACTGTGTGGTTATATCTGATCTCATCTCAGCCTCTTGGAAACGATCTATAGATAGATGAAGGATCTGTGGCCACAACCTGCTCCTCCTGGTTCCTGTTACATCTGCAGTTCGTGTTACAGTCCAGCTGATGGATAAAGAGTGTTATGTTTTTTACAGAAGACATCATTGTACATCATCTGTAATCTAAACTGATAATGTAATTCCTCTAAAACTGCAGCAGAGTTTAGATGGTTTATTGTATTACTTTTCCTTTTAAACTGCTAAAGTGATTTCACTAAGTGCACCTTTCTGCGAGCAGTAAGTGTTCACCTGGACGCTTCTGCAGAAGAACGAACATAAAGGAGTTGAACTTGAGAGAAACTATAAACTCAGCAGAAGAACTGGAAAATCAGCGGTTATATTTAGAACAAGGCACTCTAGCAGCAGAGCGTCCAGGCTGTGTTTTATTTTTAGTTGACTGCATTTTCTGAGGGTGTTTTGTTTTCTTGTCCACTGTCTTTGGAGAGTCCCAGGAGGGAGGAGGATTACAGGACAAGTTGGAAGAATCTTAGTCTTTCTCCTCTTAAAATATCGACTCCCACCATGAACTATTTCATAATCACTCTCCATGAAACAGCTCTTATGGTGCTGTTTGCTCCTACATGTTTAAAACCTGACTATCCAAAGACTCAGTTCATCTTTAAAGGTGCAACATGCAAGAGTTCTACAGGGAAATAATCACAAAACATTCTACTTTTCTCGGCCATGTTGGAAGAAAGTTTATACGGAAACAGATTTAATTCTCAGCCTGCTGAGGGGGTTGTCAGTTTTTCTCCATAAAAACAACAAAACTAAACAAAACTGTGGCACAGTTACTGTTTACAATCTGATTTGGTGAGGTTGCCAAATCTGCGCCGAGCTAACGCTGCAAAAACCTCAAGAGTCGTTTAAAGAACTAAAGCCAGTAACCAGGATAAAAAAATCTCAAGCTACTTTTTCAGTCACCAACAAGTCAATATTACAGTGAAGCGTGTGTGTGTGAAGTGAAAATGAGTCGTTCAGAACTATAACAGCAAGCTAACAGCAAGAAGGTAAACAACCACACTTCCTCTAATGCTGGAGAGATATTACCATAATAAGTGTAGTAAATGCTCTATACCGTAAAACACCCAGGAGTGCTGGTGCTGATCCGTAACTGGTAACAGCCATGAAAGTCACAGGAGTGAGAGTCATATTTTTGCTTAAGAACTGACTGCAGTAACCACATTTGACCACAGGATGTCATGCTTACATATTACACCTTTAAACTGCCAGCCCTCAGAGTATTTGATGGAGATGACTTTCTGTTACTAATACACCAATCACTAATCGATGAAACTAAATACACACATGTAGAAAGAAGTTGACTAAACAGCAGTCACAGCATTCCCAGTAATGCTTATTATTAATCACCCCTTCATGCCGCGTCTGCAGCACAGTTACCGGGAAGTCGGGATACTGCTGCTCTACCTGGGTGTCGGAGTGTCGGTCTTCTCAGGAATCGCCTACACTGCTGAATGTGAGGAGGTAAGGTTTGGTTACAATTTAGACTTTAGTGTTTAACGCACACTCCTGCATGCCAGGTGAGTGGAAGAGTCTCATCCATATCTGTTTTCAGGACGTGGGTCTGGACACCATCCCAGCCTGCTGGTGGTGGGGGACGGTGAGCATGACCACGGTGGGTTACGGCGATGTCGTTCCCGTTACGGTGGCCGGGAAGCTGGCGGCAAGCGGCTGCATCCTGGGGGGCACTCTGGTGGTGGCTCTGCCCATCACCATCATCTTCAACAAGTTCTCTCACTTCTACCGCCGGCAGAAAGCTCTGGAGGCCTCGGTGAGGAACAACAACCAGAAGAATGTGAGGATGAGCGAGCCAGAGGAGGATGAAGAATCTGACGGGGACAGCTGTTGCCTGGACGACGATGATATTGATGATATTGAGAAGGACGACATAGATTATGAGGATGAAGGAGGCGTGATAAACTACAGTTATGTGGAGCATCCGACCTGCTCGTCAGTTATTAGAAAAAAGGAGTTTTATCAGCTGTAAAGATCAGCTAATCTTCATCCACGCCACCTTCTGCCCGACTGATGAGCTGCAACTCCGGGAACCGAACAAACTACAAGAACAATACATGACGAGAGTTTGGGAAGTTTGGATGTCTAGCTTGTTATTTAAGAACACTGAAACATTTCCGGGCTTCCATGAAAAACATATTTTAATTTGGTGTTTTTTTGCTGTCATTCGCTGTGCATGTGGGCCATTCCAGGGTGGACGTGAAAATCAGAACACAGAAGCTGACTGAATCAAATCTGACACAAAAGTCAACAAACGACATAGAAAGATGTAGAAAGCATGTTAAAAAAACAATAAAATATACCATAACAACTGTGAATGCTGCTTTTGCAGAAGAAGATAAAGATATAGGACTCTGTTGTTCTGATTAGATGTCAGCAGATGTTCCAAAGGTACAGATGAGATCCAGCAGCAACCCCATAATACCTACAGCAGCAGAGTAACCCTTAACTGGGAAAATACACACAAACTCTTAAAGCTAAACTGGAACCAGAAAATGAAGGTACAGCATATATTAGTACACCCCACTACATCCATCAGAAAACCTTTAGTTTACTTTAAGAATCTACATTTCCTATGCGATACCATTACTACAAAATACTCCCACAAATGTGGGTCAGTGACTGCAAACAAGATTCGTTCATTGTTACACAAAAGTGATTTTGCTAACAAATCCATCCACTTTCTTGACCCGCTTTTCCACGCAGGGCCGCGGGGGACTGGTGCCTATCTCCAGCTGTCTTTGGGCATGCAGGCGGGGTACACCCTGGACAAGTTGCCAGTCTATTGCAGGGCAACACAAAGACACACAGGACAAACAACCAAGCACACACACTCAAATATAAGGACAATTTAGAGAAACCAGTCAACCTGACAGTCCTGGTTTTGGACTGGGAGGAAGCAGGAGACCCTGGAGATAACCCATGCATGCACAGAGAGAACATGCAGGCTCCTTGCAGAGAGAATCAGAATCAGAGTAGGTTTATTGCCATTGTCAGTGAACAAACAATTCACAAACTAGGAACTTGCTTCGGTACTAATGTGCTACATATAACATGAATAACAAGATTAAAAATAGAATAAAATATAATAAAAAAAATAGAATAAAACTTTCAGCGATAAAAAATGGCAGGTAATGGTAACATGGCCGATAACGTGACGTTGTGTCGAGTACAGAAGACGAGCAAGGTTGTGTGTTTATAATCTATTCACAAGTCTAACGGCAGATGGAAAGAAGCTGTTGTTATGGTGTGAGGTTCTGGTCCGGATGGACCGTAACCTCCTGCCTGAGGGAAGCGGCTCAAAAAGTCCGTGACCCGGGTGAGACCCCCCCCAGGTTAGGATGCGAACCCAGGACCTCCCTGCTGCAAGGCAACAGCGCTAACCACTGCACGACTGTGTAGCCCCCGAACAAATCCATTCAAGCTAATATTGTAAAAACAAGTACAACCCAATTGCTAGTCTTGGAAGAAACGCCAACAAATTCTAATTAACAGGCACTCAACCACAGGTGAGTCCAATGATTCATTTAAGAGGCGTCCAGCAGATATGTTACTATAAAAGGACATTACTTAACAAAGAAAAGTTCTTCCCATTTCATGCTGTCAGCAATGCCTCCTTCTGGAAGAGAAATGTCACAAAATCTGAGAAAGAAAATAATGTCTTTACACAAAAAAGGTGAGGGCTGCACGATGATCAGCAAAGCTTTACATATCTGTCAGAATACTGTAGCAACAGTGATCCAAATATTTAAAGATGGAAGTGCAACCATCTTACAGAGACGTCCAGGCCATCCACAGAGGTTAACATCTGGACAGGAGCATCTTCTGATGAGAAGGGTTGAAGAAAATCACCGTGCAAGTTCACTGCAGTTGGCTAAAGCAGTGGAAAGCCAAACTGGAGTGACCGTTGCCCTCGATACCCTACGGCGCACACTGCAGAGGAAATGCATACATGGGTGTCATCCCCGAAGGAAGTCTCTTCTAAAGCCAGTGCACACAAACCATGCCTAGGATTTTCTAGGGTCCATGCTGAAAGATGGAGACTACTGGGACTCTAGACTCTGGAGTAATGAGACAAAGATCACTGTTTTTGGAGCTGATGGTTTCAAAACTGTATGGCATCGTAAAGGAGAGGATTTCTAAGAGAAAGCCCAATCAATACCACAGTTTTCCCTCTTTCTCCAAATATTTCAATTTTTACCATCCAAACACAAATACACACAGCTTTCTCTGTTTAGGAGCCAGCCCCTAGTGGATGGGCTTCACATTCACATATTTGAGACAATGGCTGCCCCCGTCATAGGGATATAATAATAAACATTTAAACCTGTGCTACATCTGGTTTATAGTAAAGTATTTTGTTCTTGTTCAGAATAATGAAACTTAAGCCCAATGATGAGGCTATGAAAGACAAAGACTTGCTCTGAAGGACAAGGAGAACGTAAGCTCCACGTTGTCGGAACTGGAGAAATGAACTTAAACTGCAGCTCATGTTTCACTTAATGGATGCTTGAGGAGAGTACATCTTCCAGCAGGTTTCCTTCCTATGTGAGAGCATTAAAAGATTATTCCAAGGCCGTAGCGACGTATAAGAGGGAAGCTTCAGTCTTAGATTACGGAGAAAAACTAAAGTTCAACTTAGGTTTTATGCTCCTGCTTCATTTTTCTAATAATTAAACTTAATTATCTTTGGCTGCACCCAGACTGAAATATTACTTCCTAGAAGACAAAACTGCTACAGACTTTTTGGATGTTGACAAAAGTCCAATCATTTGAAGCATTAGACTTCATTAAATATGTAAAAATAAATAAATAAATAAATTCAAAATAGAATTCAGGAAAGTTTTTTATTCCTGAAAACACAATTTCTGCTTTGCCAGTTTCAAATCTCTATAAACACGCTGAGTTACATCAGAGTAAAGGCTTCTAGTGGGGAAGCTTCACAGCAGGGGTGTGTCTTTATGAGGGAGACCCAACGCGTCATCACCGAAGCACCTGAGGGAAGCCTCTGCATCCACCCATACACCAGCACGCACACACGCCTCACCAGCTGTCACAACAGCCAAGAGAATGAAGGGAATCCTTCACTAGTCCCACAAGTGGGGAATTTGCATCGTCACGGCAAAACGTAGAGAGTAGAAGATAAACGGCAGCAAAAGTACAAAAAAAAAAACAAAAAAAAAAAACAACTAACTGTGGTACACTATTCAAGGGAGAGGGATTCAAACAGGAAATGAGTCTTGTAGCAATTACCCATGATGCTTTGCACTTTAGAGGATTCCATTGTTAGCCTAAACAAATGTTTATATGCTTCATAGACGCAAAACGTTTCCCAGTGTGAAATAATTCTATTTCAATTCAGTAAATCACAACAAGAGTCGTTTCAGGGCTCTTCACACAGTAAACATTCCAATACAGGTCAGGTCATTATGCCAATCAGTAAAAATCCTATATAAGGAACCCAGCAGGTTGCATCGAGTCACTGACTTTTGCCAGAGTCTTTACAGCAATCCTCATACTAAGTGAGCATGCAGCGACAGTGGAGAGGAAAACTCCCTTTTAACAGAAAGAAACCTCGAGAGGATCCTGGCTCAGTATAAGCAGCCATCCGCCATGAGACACACACACACACACTAATAAGCCTCCTTCATGGACAGTGTTAAGGTCTGAGAAGGTTGAGCAGATAGAGGAAATCTCTTTCATTTTCTAGAGAAACATCAAATAGAATCATCAGATTTTCCTTCTCATCCAGAAACGTTTTGGATTCTTTTGCTTGTTTTCATTTGGTATCCAATAAAGTTTTTATGTTATCTGTAATGCATCATTTAGCAGCTCCTGATGGATCCAGAGTGATGGCCCTTCTTAAGAGGACTGCTGTTGGGCTTCATTATTAACGAACAGCAGTGGAATGAATGCACTGAGCTGATACAATAGAAACAAATGCAGCTTTGTGAATTTGTTTAAGAAGATAACCGTTTATTCAGAGCAGCCATTTTAGCTATTTTTTTAATCTTTGCATTTTTAAAATGCATTTTTGTTCTTGAGAATTGAGTTTTGGGCTCTGATCTTAATGTAAAATAAGACTAGAAAGTCAGGATAACTTAGAAACTTGACACACAAACAACCTCTCACATGCAGCTTTCTCTAATTCGGGATTAAAGCAGCAGCAGACTTTTAAAGGAGAGTGAGATCAGATTAGTTGTTGCCTGATTAAATATTAATATCAGCTATTTTTGCAGACGGAACCATCGACATGAAAGGGGAAAAAGCTTGTGATGCATCTGATGGGACAAGAAAAGGCTTTTAGAAAAACCATCAGAACCAGCGAGCTCCGTCAGTGTCCACAGCTCGAACACGCAGAACAATGGGAACAGACCAAAAAAGGACCAATGCAACTCTTACAGTGTTGTCTTTATTAAAGAAAACAAACAAAAATAAGAAATACAGAAACCGAAACCCAGCAACGGCAGCCCACCATCCACTGCATGTTGTGCTTCAGGCAAACTCAGAGGGTGACGACTACATCCAGATTAGCTTTAAACAGACAAAATGCCAAAAAGGAACCAGCAATAACTCCTAAATTACAGCTAAATCTGTGAAAGCTGCACCGATGGTGCTGTGAACCGCTTTTGGTGTAGCCACTTTCCACAATTTAGCCTTTTATAGTTTCTGTGTTTGTTTAAACTGAGCTGAAAGGGTTTTATAAAAATACAACCAAACAAAGAAAATGTGTTCACTAGGAAATAAAAAATGTCCTGTAGAAGAGCGGTAACCACTGAGATGAATCTGGGAACTCCATGTGTTTCTGTGTAACTTATCGTGATCAACACCAGATTCCTCATTTAGAACATTAATTAAATTAAAGCAAAACTCCAGCTGGAGAAATGAGAACAATTTCAGCTGCGCTCACCGACCGAGGCGAGTTTAGAAGAGATGACTGTGTTTGAACGTGGAGCTGCAGATTCCTGCTGAGGTGTAACCGGCTTCAGAAAACGAGCAGTTTCAAAAGTTTAGGAAAACATCCCATGAATAAAAAAACAGAAAGCAAAGTTTCACATCAGAAAAATGTCTCTTCTGGTTTTGTTCTCCAGTGATTTCGACCTTTGGTTCAAACAGCAGAACAAAGATGCCGCTGGCACCCAGCCAACCATGCATCTTTTTTGTTTTCCCAATTTCTGACGATAAATGAGCAAAGAAACGTGACCAGTCCGCTCTTTTTGATCATAAAACTGAAGAGAATATCTACACACGCTTGTTTTCCTTCAGCTTGTAACAAACAGAAAATCATTTGTGCTTGTGAGTCGTTTTACACCACAGAACAAGCTTCTGTCATCAGCAGGATTTCCAGCACCAGACACGCGTTTATGCACATTAACCGAGTTCCAGCATGCACCAACAGCAGAGTGTTGCTCATGTGAGCAGGGCGACACAGTGGAGGAGCTACAGTAGTTTCTCATCATCGCAGTCATTATTTCACACCCCTGAGGAGTTTCGTGACCTGAGAAGCTCATTTTTCCTCTTTTGACAACTGTCTTCACATCTAAACCTATGTAAAAAAAAATAGATATGGTCCCTTCTGTGCTGGATGAAAACCAGAAATGTCACAAGCGCTGGATGATTAGCGATAGAGGAATGTTTGAAGTGAAGATGGATCAGACCTGGACCAACACCAGATCCAGTCTCAGACCCGTCGGCGGTCGTCTGTGGAGGTTTTCATGCAGTCAGGTGTGCCGGGTCACATTTTTCAGTACAGGCCCTTTTTTTTTTAAGGTGGAGAAGATCAGAAACACCCCAAAAAGTTTTCACATCAACTGTAAAAAGGACACTGGTGGTTAAAAGAATGCAAAAACATTTGGTACATTCAACGTTAAAAAGACACTGAAATCTAATTAAACATTCAGCAGTTTAAGGCCATTTCAGCTTAAACCTTCTGATTCATCACAAATAAAGTTAAATTTACCTTCAGCCACATATTTATAACAAAATAGTCCAAAACGTAAGAGGGACGCTTACGGGGAAGCACAGATCGGTTCTTTGAGTTTAAAACGTAATAAACCCGTTCTAATAAACTGTGGCAATATAAAGAAGTCTCCTTGTAAATGACTATTATTGGTTTTTTATTATTATTATTACACTTCCTAAGGGGGCGATTGACTCCTTAGTTTTACACAGCAGTGCAGGAGCCCCTATTAATACATCTATGCTTGTGCCTGCTGTGAAATAGAGCTAAACTGGTGGAGGGATTAAAAAAGTCCTTAAATCTGTTCATTTTCTGTTAAAACCAGTTTAGAAACAAGTTTGCTCTTTCAATTACGGATCATTAAATGAGCCCTTGGGCTAATTTGTGGACCCACAAAGGACGGCTTTACGCTCAAAAATAAGTAAAACTTTACCTGATCGGAAAGCTGTTGAAGACGGTTTCTCTGAAATTAGTCCCAGCAGGAGTTTGATTTTCTTCACACCAAAACTCAAACATCCAGTTAAACCCGAGGTGTTAAAGACATCAATATAATCTAGAAAAGGAATAATTTTCTCCACCAGCTGCCTTTTTTCCACTCACCGCTCAACTCCGGTGGGTCCAAGTCGTAAAAACGGTCAAAGCTACACATCATATCCATCTTATATCTGCAGGTTGTACTATATTATGAAAAAACTCTTTATTCCCAAACCCAAAAAATAAAAATCTAAAGAATATTTAGTTATGAGGCACAAAGTAGTGGTCATATTATCGAAGGCCTTCCTATAAACCTGCTTCACCCAGCTGCACCTACAGTGTGGTGTGTAGAAGATGGGAGTGTGTGTCATTTAAAATCACTGATGTGGAAATACACACACAGTGCCCAAGATCTCCCACATGAAGTTAAACGAGAACAAATGAAGATTTAAGGAGATCTTCTCTTTTCATCTGCATCAGAATTCAGTCTTCACAACTTCAACGTTCATCCTAAATGAAGCACAAGGCACGTTCCTGCAAGGCAGGAGAGCTCAACCACTTTCTGCCTTTTATGGAATATTTTTGTTCTTTGTGAGAGTTTCTCCCTTTTCTGGATTTTCACAGTCTGGTAGGGGAACACTGAAACATTTAGCAGCATCACATCTTTCAGCAATGAGCGGAAACACTCCAGCAAAAGGAAAAAGTACCCAACGAATATTTAGAAAACACCTTTTAGGACAACAACGTCTGAAAAAGGTCACTGTGGTTTTTGACGGAGGTGTGCAAGCATGAAAACAAGGCTGATGATGAAAAACTTTCTTCAGCTGTCGTCTCTATAGTTAAAGAATGTAGTTGAACCTGATGCGAACCTCCGCTCAACATTCCATCAGAGGACAGCTCTTTCTTCGGAGGTTCTTCCCACATTAAGTTCTAAATGTCCCGTCATACAGCATCACCTCGTGTCCAGGTTACACGGAGAACCATCTACTGGTCCAGTCTTAGAGGAGCTCTGCAGATCCCATCAGAAGTTCTGCTGCAGTCGCTTTTTGGCTTCAATGGCGTCGAGGATGGGTTTCCGCTTTGCCTGGTAACGCTGACGGATCTCCTCGATCTCCTGCTCCATCTGAGGGTCCAGAGAGGCGAGTCTCACCCGCAGCTCCTCCACCGACCACGTCCTTACCTACAGACAAACAGCAAACCACGCTGAGACTCCTTTCTAGTTCATCAGCTTCAGTCTGATGGTTTAAAATTTAAAAATGCTGCAGCCCCTAAGTGTTCGTTAAAAACAGAAGATCATGTGACCTTGAGGTAATTCTTATGGAAGATGCTCATGAAGGTTCTCAATGATCCCAGCAGGTTCCGATCCGAACAAAGGACACCTCCTATCAATGTTCCTAAAGTTTGTCTTCATATAAAGACTGTGGAATAGAAGTTATGGTCCTGAGAGGTCTCTCACTCATCCAGACATGAACTGGTTAGAGGTGCTTCTGATGAAGATCAGACACCATTTCATTAAATGGTGTGAACCCAATCAGCCCAACCAGTTCTGTTGGATTTGGGCCGTGAATTATGTTCATTGAGCGGGTTGTCACGTGGCCCGCTCCGCTCGCTCTCACGGAGAGATAGAGATATAAAGAGAGAGAGAGAGAGAGAGAGGATCGGAGGACGCTCCTCCAAACACGCATTATTATTTTCATTATTTAATTATTTCTCCTCGAAGCGCTCAGTCAGACCGAGTGTTGTGATGTCGGGAGATCCGGTCTTGAGGAGGTGGCGGCTGCTGCAGCATAGTCTCTTTGATTTAGGGGCACGGAGAAGTTAAAAGGAGAGAGGAATAGAAGATAGAAGTTTGTTCCACTTTATTCTTTTGCTTCATGATGATAAACTGATGCTAAATTCAGCTTAAAAAACTAGGAAGCTTTGGTTCATTTTAGGTTACAGGAGATCTTGTTTCCTATCTGCTCCTCCAGAGACAGCACGGACATGAGGGTTACATGGCGAGGGTCACACAGGACAGGCTAGTGGAAAGGTTTGTAGTTAGCTGGTTAGTGAAGGAGATCCATCAGCTGGGTAATTTAATCCTAATCCAGCACAGCCTTCTGCTGGTGTTATTTTTAGAAAGAATAAAACACACATCTTAAATATTATTGGAAGTTTAGAATTTGTTTTAGGCTTTATTATTTTCTGCATCAAACAGAACTTGATTCATTCTCCAACATTTCAGAAATGAACCACTGGGTTCAAAATAAAAAAAACAAACAGTCAAACATTTCTTTTGGTGTTATTTCTGACACCCTTGAACTGTGGCATAAATATTTGACTCTAAAGCTGCTCAGAGACAGGAAACACTCATATATGAACCCATTATGTATTTTATTATTACAATATGTGTCCTATGGGTTTTCAGTACTTTTTCAGATTTTGTGAGCTTTTGCAAAGCGTGTTTTTCTCAGCCTGAGGCGTGGTGTTGAATTAGGAAACAGATTGTTTTTACTTTAAACTGTTTAAAATGTTTTGTCCTAACCTGTTGTGAATTGAGAGCTTTTCAGGGATGGCAGGTTGTGTCAATTACATTTTTGATTTAAAAAAAGTATTCATTTCAGCCTCACAGGCTCAAGGGCACCAGATTCAGATAAGAAATTGTTTTGGGGCCAAACAGAGATAATGTCTTCTCTGTCTTATGCATCGGGATATTGAATCAAATTGAATCGTTGACCCAATAATCGTAATCGAATTGAAGGACAAGTGAAGATTCACACCTCTACATGTGTCACAGCTGAGCTTCAGTCGGCAGGTTTTGGAGTCTTATTTCCTGATTTTTGAACAACTCGTCTCTTATTGGCTAACATCCATGATGCACTGACTTGCAGCATTGATGTTTAATCTACACAAGCCTGGAGGAGTTCTGCTGTGTGGTGGTGTTACAAATGCTAACAGTTAGCTTCTACTAGCCGAGATGTTCTCTGCTGTTTCCTGGACTCTAAACCAACAACAGCCTTCCCCGTCGTGAGTCAAGATGGGCGAGTCATGAATGTTAGGTGACAGTGTGACGTAGATCTGTCAGGCCTTTCTAATCCTAGAGCTTTATTTTCTATCGGAAGCTAATGCAGGAGATAGGTGTAGGAGACCATTTTCATCTTTGGTACATTCTTGCTGTGTCTGATTCCTAATTCCATTTTTGGTTCTTTTTTAAAAACTCAGGAAAAGTTTCTCTTTACCTTGCTTACAGTTTCGTTCGCGGCTGCAAACATCCTCAGAGCTGACGCTGATGATGGCGTCACTTCCTACTCCGTTTATCATCGGGCAGCAGAGGACGTTGTCACCCTCTGCTGCCCACTCTCCCCTCTCCGATGATGTAGTCCCATGCGCGATCCAATGTGTAAACCCCATCATCTCTGTTCATGGTCCCACATCCACGTCTCCTCATCTCTATAGCTTCTTTTATTCATCTTTTGTATTTCTGTTGTTCGGTGTTTATGATCCTTGTGTTGTCCCAGTCCATTATATGGTTTTCTCTTGTGCAGTGATCCGTTACGGCTGACTTCTTTATTGTGCTTTCTGCTTCTTGTTTCGCTGCTCTTGTGTGTCTTCCACTTGTTTCTCCCTCGCACTCCTTTCTATGTTCTATTGTTTGTGTGTTGAGTTGGCTTCCGGTTTCTCCTAATGTACGTTTTATTGCAGAATTTGCATGACGTGGATGTGGGACTATGAACAGAGACGATGGGGTCTACACATTGTATCATGCATGGGACTGCATCATTGGAGAGGGGAGAGCGGGCAGCGGGCAGCAGAGGGCAACAGCGTCCTCCGCTGCCCGATGATAAACAGAGTAGGAAGTGACAGCCAAGCGTCAGCTCTGAGGAAGTTTGAAGCCGCGAACGAAACTGTCAGCAAGCAAGGCAAAGATAAACCTTTTCTGTGTTTTAAAAAGGAACCAAAAATGGGACCATTTTCATGTTCAGCCTGCAGGAAAAACTCAGAGTGACCCGTTAGAATCAGAAATAATAATTAAAATGGGATTTCAGTGTTCAACACCTTTAATATAAACATTTTAATACCTCGTTCTTGTTATATGACCGAAATATCCAGCTACCTTTCACCTGTTCTTTCCTGGTTATTTGTGTGTGTGTGTGTGTGTGTGTGTGTGTGTGTGTGTGTGTGTGTGTGTGTGTGTGTGTGTGTGTGTGTGTGTGTGTGTGTGTGTGTGTGTGTGTGTGTGTGTGTGTGTGTGTGTGTGTGTGTGTGTGTGTGTGTGTGTGTGTGTGTGTGTGTGTGTGTGTGTGTGTGTGTGTGTGTGTGTGTGTGTGTGTGTGTGTGTGTGTGTGTGTGTGTGTGTGTGTGTGTGTGTGTGTGTGTGTGTGTGTGTGTGTGTGTGTGTGTGTGTGTGTGTGTGTGTGTGTGTGTGTGTGTGTGTGTGTGTGTGTGTGTGTGTGTGTGTGTGTGTGTGTGTGTGTGTGTGTGTGTGTGTGTGTGTGTGTGTGTGTGTGTGTGTGTGTGTGTGTGTGTGTGTGTGTGTGTGTGTGTGTGTGTGTGTGTGTGTGTGTGTGTGTGTGTGTGTGTGTGTGTGTGTGTGTGTGTGTGTGTGTGTGTGTGTGTGTGTGTGTGTGTGTGTGTGTGTGTGTGTGTGTGTGTGTGTGTGTGTGTGTGTGTGTGTGTGTGTGTGTGTGTGTGTGTGTGTGTGTGTGTGTGTGTATTCTGTTATCTGATTATGTTGTGACCCCAGATCCTGAAGTTAGATCTACATTATTGGGCATTAAAACTAATACTCACTAAGGAATATATGTACTAATTCAAAGACATATACACCACAGCACACCTGGTGCTTTACTGCTGTTTTTAAGTAGCTTAATGAAGGTATGAGAGAAAAGCTTTAATGCCATGTTACATTCTAACATTACCATTTTAGACAATTATAACATAATAGAATTAAATAAGGCCCGGTGACTTCACGTGTGTCCGAGTTTAAAGGTGTGTGTTGTTTTCACTGATCACACCTCTTCATTACATTGTACGTAGTGTGTCGTGAAGCTTAAAGGTCTACTTTTAAATCCATACACACTTAAAAACTCCACCTCCTAAAAACGTCTTCCACATGAAAACAGGACCCAAGGTCAGGTGTTGACTTTTTATTCAGAGTCCCGCCCTGTTGAAGGTCAGCGATCAGGACCTGGAGCCTCCTTTAGCTTTCCCCTGGAGGTTTCCCATCTTTGTTTTTACCAGCAGCACAATCCTCTTACGCTATTCATTACCACAATCAATAAAGCTAAAATAACACGGATGTCCTAGTCCACTACACAGAAAACCACGGGCCCAAGGAGAAAGGTCCCTCAACTGGAACACGTGAGGATCCATGGAAAACAGTCAGAGGGTCGGGAATTCTCAAATGTGTCGTCTGGCAAAATGACAACAAATCAACTTTTTTCCCAAAAAGTAATAAAATCATGAGTACTATTAATAGAAATATAATCAGATACATTCAACGTACAGGAAGTGGAAACTGATCCTTTTGAAGCTACGAACGGATTCATCTTCTATCAGACATGAGATTATTTTATTTAAAGCATTGGCAAAAACAAAACAACAAGTTTGTTTGGGTCACTGGTTCTGAAACTGCATGAGTCATGAAAAACTAAGACTGGGGTCCTGAGATGACATAATTCCTGATAGGAGGTTTTCACGTTATTGAAGTAATCTGTAAAAACGGTAGCTATTAGCGTTTCACTTTATTTATTCAGGTTTTTACCAAGGTTAGTGGAGTTCAGCCATGTTTGGGGTCACAAGTCATTTCTGCTTCATGGGATCTGGTTTAATGCTTTTGTTATCCTAAAGTCAATAATCCCAAACAGGAAATACAAGCTCCACTCCTCAGTAGTCCTCCCTCTGGCTGGAGCTTACATTTATAACCTCCACTCACTGTAAACAAAACTCAAGCCTTACTTTAAAATTTTATCAAATATCTAATTGGTTTTCATCTAAGTGTATGAATCCCAGCCTCGGTTGGCCTGCTGGTGGTTCCTGAGCCCTGATGAAACATGTGGGATCATCAGCTGCTGATCCTTTATTCTGAAACGTAATCTGTCTAGGCCCGTTAACAGAACACTGAGTTTGATTGTGATGGAAGGTCTGAGCAGCAGGGATGGGATTCAATGGAAAATAAAGTTAAATAAAAGGCAAAGTGTA